AAGGCATGCCATCATTCAAGTTTAGGGATTTTGTTGAGAAAATGAGACTTGCGCCACTTTGTAAAATTTGTATACATACAGTGATTTTATGAAATTCTTAAAGCATTCAGATATTTTCTCGTTATTTTTATTGTGCACATATTATTGAGAAAATATATATCTTTTTGACTTGGAATAAATATAAGGTTTATCCATTAAGTTTTTTGTTACCACATAAAGTACTAAGGGACAAGATACATTGTGATTATAGTAGATACTACTCGTATTAAGAGGACCTATCTATGTAGTTTGTGTTCATTGTTTCTTTGAGTTTGTACTTGCACCAAGTGGGAGAATGTAATGTTTTCCATTTAGGAAAACTTAAATAGTGCAAGTTATTATGGCATTTAGTGGTGCCATAATAAGGTGTTGTAACGGTAACCATTACAAAGCCTGTATTGATGGCATACAGGCTATATAAGAAAGGGTCCCCCACTGCTTAGGTTACTGCTTTTGACATTTCATACACCATCTATATTGAACTTGGGAGCAAGTGGGAGACATTCTACCAAAATAGCTACGACAACAACAAAGGCAAACAACAGCAACATCAATGTAGTACTAAGAACTATTATGGCTGGAGGTTAGTTCATGTTTTAAATTTGCTTACATGGAGGAATCAAGGTGTGAGGTTTTGCGTTAGGTGCATTCTTTGATACTGCTGCACCAGTCTCCGCCCAGAACATAAACCACCCACCTTTGTTTCCCTTTCCAATAGCCTTCTCCAAAGAGGTAGGTAGGGGGGCTCCCGTCGAGACACACAACCCAACGGATACAACACTTTGAAGAATAGTGGAATTGGCCGTGAAGAAGCCATCAGTTATTTGTGATTGTTGAAGAAGCACAACAATCATGAGGATACATGTGGTGTTCAGTAGTGTTCCCATTTTCTTGGTACGGTGCAAAGTAGAGTAGTTTTTAATGGTGTAGAGTAGAAAGCTAAGCAAGAGGGAAGGAGTTCAACGAAATATATTATTCAAACGGGTTTAGCTTAGCTTTCTACTCTGCACCATTAAACACTACACTGCTCTGCACCGAAACGAGAAAATGGGAACACTACTGAACACCACATGTATTCTCCTGATTGTTGTTCTTCTTTAACAATTACAAACAACTACGGGCTTCTTCACGACCAATTCCACTATTCTTCAAAGTGGTGTATTCGTTGGGTATGTGTGTCTCAACGGGAGCCCCCCCTGCCTACCTCTTTGGAGAACGCTATGGGAAAGGGAAACATTGGTTGGTGGTTTATCTTCTGCGCGTAGACTGGTGCAGCAGCATCAAAGAATGCACCTACAGCAAAACCTCACACCTTGGTTCCTCCCTGTAAGCAAATTTTGAAACATGAACTAATCTCCAGCCATAGTAGTTCTTAGTACTACCTTGATGTTGATGTTGTTTGCCTTTGCTGTTGTCCTAGCTATTTTGGTAGAATATCTCCCGCTTGCTCCCAGGTTCAATATAGATGGTGTATGAAATGTTAGAAGCAGTAATATGAGCAGTGGGGGACCCTTGCTTATATAGCCTGTATGCCATCAATACAGGTTTTGTAATGGTTACCGTTACAACACCTTATTATGTCACCACTTATTGACCACTAAAGGACATAATAACTAGCACCATTTAAGTTTTTCTAAATGGAAAAACGTTACATTCTCCCAATTGGTGCAAGTACAAACTCAAAGAAACAAGGAACACAAATTATAGAGATAGGTCCTCTTAATACAAGTAGTATCTACTATAATCACAATGTATCTTGTCCCTAAGTACTTTATAGATAAATCTTATGTTTATTCCTGGTCAAGATGATATATTTTTTCTCAATAATATGTGCACAATACAATAACGAGAAAATATCTGAATGCTTTAAGAATTTCATAAAATAACTGTACGTATACAAATTTTACAAAGTGGGCGCAAGTCCCATTTTCTCAACAAAATCCCTAAACTTGAATGGTGGCATGCATTTAGTTAAGGGGACATCAATCATCAACTTAGTGCTTATATACTCAATGACCACTTTCTTATCTTTAACACGCTCCCTGATGGCCAAGTACTTGGTGTCGATATGCTTACTTCGACTCCCACTCTTATTGTTCTTAGCTAGGAAGACTGCAGCTGAGTTGTTACAATAAACCTTTAATGGGTTAGAAATAGAGTCCACAACTCTAAGCCCCGAAGTGAAATTCTTAAGCCATACACCTTGAGATGTAGCCTTAAAACATGAAACGAACTCGACTTCCATGGTTGAAGTGGTGACAAGAGTTTGTTTAACACTTCTCCATGAAACAGCACTACCAGCCATGATAAAAATATTCCCCGAAGATGATTTCCGAGAATCAACACAACCGGCAAAGTCCGAATTAGAATATCCAACAATGTCCAAAATGTCCGTCTGCTTGAACACAAGCTTATAATCCTTGGTACCCTTGAGATACTTTAAAACCTTCTTTGCAACTCTCTAGCGATCAAAACCCGGATCACTTTGATATCGTCCCAGCATTCCAACAGAAAAGACGATGTTCGGCCTAGTACAAACTTGAACATACCCTAGGAATCCGAAAACTGAATTATTCTTTGGACATTGGTCCAAACTGAATTTATCTCCTTTCACTATAGGAGTTGGACTCGGTGAACAATTTTTCATCTGAAATCTTTCTAAGACTTTGTTTGATATATGTTTCCTGTGATAATCCTAGAATACCCCGGGATCTATCTCTATGGATCTTAATGCCAATGACATAAGATGCCTCGCCCATATCTTTCACATCAAAGTTCTTAGAAAGGAATTGCTTAACCTCGTGCAACATTCCCTTATCATTTGTTGCAAGTAGAATAGCATCCACATATAATAAAACAATAAAACAAATTTTACTCCCACTTGTCTTTTGGAATATGTAGTGATCTATGGGACTTTCCACAAATCCATATGAAGAAATAACCCTGTCAAACTTGATACACCATTGGCAAGAAACTTGTTTTAAACCATATATGGACTTTTAAAGCTTGCAAACCAAATGTTCACCTTCACTAGAAGAGAACCCTTCAGGTTGTTTCACATAAACCACCCTCTTCTAGATCACCATTAAGGAATGCCGTTTTCCCATCCATTTTTTTCAATTCAAGATTGAAATGTGCAACTAAAGCCAAAATTATACGAAGTGAATCTTTCTTTGATACATGATAAAAAGTCTCCGTGTAGTCAATTTTTTTTTTTTTTTTTTTTGTAAACCCTTTAGCAATGAGCCTAGCCTTGTATCTTTGGATGTTGCCTAATGAGTCTTTTTTAGTCTTATAGACCCATTTACAGCCAATGGCCTTTGCCCCATTAGGCAACTCAACAAGGTCCCAAATCTCATTGCTCCGCATGGACATTTCTTCCTTCATGGTTTCATACCATAAATCTGACTCTTTACAGTTTATGGCTTGTGAAAACGTTTCTGGATCATTTTCAGCTCTAACATCAGACTCTTGTAGTTACACTACATAATCACTAGGAATTGCCGATCTTTTTTCACGAGTAGATCACCTCGAAGTTGAATTACCATCTTCTTGAGAAGTTAGTGGTTCAACTACCACTTTAGGAATGCTTCTCACTTCTTTTGTTTTTGTTTTTTTGGTTTTTTTTTTTTTCAATCTTCTTTCCTTGACTTTTTTTTTTCACAATACTAGCAGCAAATCGATGTGATATCAATCATAAGACAATATAGAATACAGCAGATAATACACATAAATTTTCATTCAGTAGGGCGGATTCACAGATTTTTCTGTATTTCTGAGAATAATATTTTGACAATTTTTTTTTTGTCAGAAAGAACAATAGGTTGGCTATGTCCACAAAAATTTTCAAGGCAAAAGGACACCCAGACGTATTTTTTTGAAACTTTTTTCTCTAATTGGGCAGACTGAAAAAATTTCTGCAGAATCTATGCTTGTTTGGGGTAGTTACTAATTAATGCAAAAAAATTATGGATTAAACCAAGTAGAAAGATGGGAACAAGATCATATAGTAGAATATAGGAATGAAGTTCGTATATGACACTTAGAACAAGCTCAAAATTTCTGGGAATGATTGTAACATGTTCATATAAGGATTTGACTCCAAAGCTCTGATACCAAAATTGTTGTGGGCTCCGATCAAGAAAGAAAGATGGTTGGGCGATGGAAGCAAAGGAAGGAAGGTGGTAGTGTGAAGTCTCGCCACTCCAAGGATGGAGATAAGAGTTGACGCCACTTAGCAGATAAATCCCAAGATAAGTGTTAAGGAAAGAAATCACAGAAATCACATGTTAAGGAAAGAAATCACAAGTGTTGAACATTAGGAAAGTTGTCTTACTTTCCTATTCTCTTACTTTCCTATTCTTATTAGTAGTTTCCTAAACTAATTTAGTATCTAGTTTAGTATATATAGAGGTCCATAGAAGTATAGAATAGACAGAGAGAGAGACAATCTATTGTATTCTTTCATTATAATCTATTCTCTTGTTCTTTGGTTCTCACATATCTTGCTTCCGCCTTACTGGCGGGTGGTGGATATTCTCCACCTGCCAGGTCTCTCAAATTCTGAATTTTAACATGGTATCAGAGCTTTTGGTTTATTATATCTTGTGAATTGTGTTGTTTGGTTAATTATTGTGGGTCCATAGGATTAGTCTCATATTTTGGTATGAGTTGAGTCGTTGTAGCTTGTTCAATGTCAATCAGTCCAGGGTGCTGCAGTGATGGGCAGCACGGATGCTAGGAGGGATGCGGACCTAGCATATGCCACGGCAGTTATGGGAGGCTGATGGTTGAAGAAGAATTGGTTCGGGATGAACCAATTGTCAGGGTGCTGCAGTGATGGGCAGCACGGATGCTAGGAGGGATGCGGACCTGGCACATGCCACGACAGTTATGGGAGGCTGATGGTTGAAGAAGAATTGGTTCGGGATGAACCAATTGTGTGCACCAGGAAAACAGGAAAACACTGTGTTGGGCAGCGCTAATGATGGTTTGTGGTGCGAGAGGCAGGAGCACTATGGTGTTAGGCAGTGTTGATAACGGTGTGGGGTGTGAGTGGAAGGTGCGCTGTGGTGTTTGGCCTGTTTTTGGCTTCGTGGAAGCTTAGTTAGTGCAACAGATTGAACGGTGGACTGATTTGGCACAACGTTGTTTGAAGATTGATCAAGTAGTTCGAGACATGGGTGTTGATCTCGAAGGTTATGACTCTAGATGTGAAGTCCTATGGCTCATGTGATATATTTGTAATGTTATGGAATATAAATATAATATTTGGAATCTCTATAGATTAGGCAGTCTTAGAGATTTAGATACGGAGGTCGTCGACGCTGACAAGAGGGACGCTAGCAACAACGTCAATCAAAAGTCTCTTATTCCCAAGTTGGGCATTTCTCTGTTACATGCTCCAACTTGAGGGGGAGGGGGGGGGGGGGGGTGTTAAGGAAAGAAATCACAGAAATCACATGTTAAGGAAAGAAATCACAAGTGTTGAATATTAGGAAAGTTGTCTTACTTTCCTATTCTCTTACTTTCCTATTCTCTTACTTTCCTATTCTTATTAGTAGTTTCCTAGACTAATTTAGTATCTAGTTTAGTATATATAGAGGTCCATAGAAGTATAGAATAGACAGAGAGAGACAATCTATTGTATTCTTTCAATATAATCTATTCTCTTGTTCTTTGGTTCTCACATATCTTGCTTCCGCCTTACTGGCGGGTGGTGGATATTCTCCACCCGCCAGGTCTCTCAAATTCTGAATTTTAAATAAGTCAAAATACTCAAGAGCTCAAGGAAAAGAAATTGCCACAGCAATATTCTTGAATTTACTACTATCAAAGTTGTGACTGTCAAACAAATTAATAGCAAGGTTATTTATACACTTTAGCAAGCCCCTACATCAATGACTTTTTAAGTTCAAAATGAGCTATTCTAGTGCTATACTAGCTTAAAAGATGCAACTAGCCACAAGACTAGGATAACTAAGTCAAATAGGTTTTATAAAAAACTAAATTCTAATTGAATTTAGGATTTATAAGCCTAATATGGACTTTACAAATTAAATAGCAGAGGGACGGTCTAAAATAGTCTTAAACTTTTATTTGCAAGAAAAAATACTCCAAGTGTTGATTTATAAGGTATGAACCTCCACTCGATCTTTATTCTTCAAATTATGCCTGAATCAGATTGACCACTTTCCATTCAACTCCATCTTCATATTCTTGATTAACTTCACTTACTCCTTTAATAAGGTCATTCAAAGCTTCATGAAATATCTTTGCGCTTGCCCTCGTCATTGGACCTCCCAAGGTTTGCAAAGGATCTGTTTCTTTGTTCTCATCCTCATAGTTGTCCTCAACATCACCCCCCCCCCCCCCTTAGAAAGATTCGTCCACGAATCAATTTCACCGTGATCTTGTTTATAGCTCGGCAGTCTACGCACATCCTCCATGACCCATCCTTTTTTAGCACCAGCAATACTGGTACAACACTAGGACTTAAGCTCTCCCTTATTTTTCCTTTTTCCATCAACTCATCCACTTGTTTCTGAATTTCTTTAGTTTCTTCGAGGTTGCATCTGTAAGCAGGTCTATTTGGAATAGGAGTCCCAGGTATCAAGTCTATTTGGTGCTCTATTCCTCTCATAGGAGGTAACCCACTTGGAATCTCCTCTGGAAATACATCATCAAAAACCTGCATTAAAGAAGAAATAGCCTCGGGCAAGTAAGCATAAGAATTATAGAATGTCCGGCATCAATAACTCTCAATTTCTTTTCTTTTGCATAATATGTTAGATTTTTTTCTTCTCTCTTTCTTTTGCTCACTTTCTTTCTTTTCATTTTTTTCTTCTTTTTCTTTTTTCTCTTTTTCTTTTGCTTTTTTTCTCATCATCACGAATTTGACTAGGAGTTAAAGGTACAAGAGTTACTTTCTTTCCTTCATGTACAAATGAGTATTTATTACTAAAATCCTTCATGGATGGTCTTTTTATCGAATTGCCAAGGCCTCCTTAAGAGCACATGTGCAGCCTGCATGGGGACTACGGCACATAAAATCTCATCAGTATACCTTCCAATGGAGAGTGGAACTAACACCTGCTTGTCAACCTTGATTTCTCCATTTTTGTTTAGCCGTTGTAGAGAGTATGGCATAGGATGCTCAATAGTATTCAATCCTAGTTTTATAACTAGTTCAGTACTAGCTACATTAGTACAACTGCCCCCGCCAATTATAAGCTTACACACTTTGCTATCAATGTGACATCTAGTGTGAAATATGTTTTCTCTTTGCTCTTCTTCACCTCTAGCTTGCAAGTTCAACAATCTTCTCACCATCAACATATCCCCTTCAACGGGACTTAGAATTTCATTTCACTTCCACTTGGAGCTTGAGATTTCTCAGATTCTGGATCCGTCTCAAATTCCCCTGAATCAAGCAAAATCACATTTCTTTTGTTAGGACAATCTTTAGCTATGTGGCCTCTACCTTGGAATTTAAAACATTTGGTGTTGCTAGTCCGGTTAGTAGCAATATCAACTTTTTCCTTGCCCTTGTTAATAGACTTGCCCGCTTCTCCTTTAGGCTTGAAGTCTCTTTTCACTTATTTGCTTGACTTCCAGTTCTGAGCCCTTAGTTTCTTTTTCGTAAGTTTTTTTTTTTCAACTTGGATGGCCTTTTGAACCATCTCTTCATAATCCAAGTAGTCACACATTTCAATTTCATCTTGGATGTCCCAATTCAACCCCTTGATAAACCTAGAAATAGTAGTTTCAAGCTCTTCTGTAATTCCAAGTTTTGTCAAGAGTTTTTGCTCCTCATGGTCATACTCAGCTACAGACATTCTGCCTTGTACAAGTTCTTGTAATTTTTGATGTAATTCTCGTTGGTATGAAGCAGGGATCCATTTCCTTCTCATCAACACCTTCATTTCTCTCCAACTCCTTACCTCTCTATCCTCACTCCTTCTCCTATCCAACACCTCTTTATTTGAACGTTCAACCCCTCAATAACATCGGTCATTTTAGCAAATTGTCCCTTAATGGCTCTCGTCATGAGACACATGTCAAGACTTAATTCTTGCTCATCAATCTCACTAGGACCCAACATTTTCCTAACCCGCCCCAAGTATGAGAATTGGACCTCACGTCACTCCCTTACTTGCACTCTTTAATGGGGTGATCAATCGTTATTTTACCACTCGTGTATAATAAAACGCTCTAATGATCTCACAAATAAAATTCACTCAAGTAGTAAAACAAGTATTGTCCTATGGAGTTCTTTCGGAATTTAAGACTAAGTCAAGAAACTTAACGCAAAATGGCTAAACTCACAGAAAGGTTAATATTTGGAAAAAAACAAATGATCGATATGAGACAAGAAATTTCATTGACTTTTTTTTTTCACAATACTAGTAGCAAATTGAGGTGATATCAATCATAAGACAGTATAGAATACAACAGATAATACACAAAAATTTTCATTCAGTAGTAGTAGTAGTAGTAATATGGGGAGCTTGCAGAAACAGATTCCGAGGTTCGAGAAGCTGTTGAAATCCGAATGCTTTAAGGCTGAGGCGGCGCTACTTACGTTGATTGGCAGCGCAATCGCTATTGGAGCCGCATCGAATCAGCAAGTTGTGAGGAATTTAGTGCGGTGTTTGGTTGAAATCGTGAGCAATGAGGATTGGGTGGCAAGAAATGTCTGATTGATTTTGCAGGTGAAGACTGTGAGGGAAACAATGAGCCTGGAAGCGTGGAATGAGATTCCTGATTTATCAGATGATGCATGTCCTAGAGAAGAAGACCAGATAAAAAGACATGTTTGCCCTTTAATTAGACGGTCAAGACACGGATTGAGTGACGGAGGATGAAAAGTGTCCAACGACCAACAATGGTGGCTACTAAATGGCAATTTTTATTATGGAGGATGAAAAGTGTCAATGTCCTAATAAGTGGTGGCTACTAAATGGCAATTTTTATTATGGAGGATGAAAAGTGTCAATGTCCTAATAAGTCTAGGACTAAAAATGGCATTGTTGTTGTTGTTATTATTCTTATTATTATTATTACATACACCTTTGGATTGGATCAATTCAAGCTCATAACTTAAGCACTCACCCATCCTCTATGAACGTATTATTTGCACAGTTTTTAACCAAGGTACTTTGTTCAACCTCCTGCACATGACTTGTTCTATCAAAGTCCAACTACATCCACATCCTTCCTATTATTCACGCCAAAACCATGTTTTTGGATAATTTCATTAAAAGGTAAGTTGTGTGTGCCCAAAGTAATTGCTCACAAAAAGTCCTCAAGATGGATACTCCATCTCGCACAAAGCATCCAACATTTGTCATCTCAATTCCTTTAACGTTTTGTATTGCGTTTCAGAGATGTGGTTGAACTTAACAGCCCTGTAAAATTCCATTGAAAGTGTGTGGTTTATCTCTTCGGACAATAATCGCTTGATTAATAATGTGACAACTCCTTCTGAAGGGATTATTGTATATCTCTTGTATTTGACATCTCCTTTCGAAGTACTACTCCCCAATCACCTCCGTGTTTGTCATATTATTCACTCCAAAATTTGGATTGTACCAACCTTCAAAATGTAAGTTGGGTATGCGTAAAACAGTTAGTAATAATGAAAACTCCTCGTGACACCTTATCTGTTTTTTTACGCACAACATCAAAAAATTGCAATCTAAAATCTTGTAAAACTCGATATTGAGTTGGAGAATTTTCTTTTCTCTAATCGCGTGGTGAAAGAACGTTGACAAGGTCTCATTTATTTAATAAGCGTCATAGGCAGTGCACATGACGATTAGCGTCGGCGTTTTAATATCTCCCTCAATATATTGTGGGAACATGCATAAGTATTCATCCTTGCCGCTGCCTTTCATTCTGTCAATGCAAGCCTTGGGTAGGGCTCCAGTTAAATTATGTAAAGCAACTACACCCCGAAACATCGACTCCAACCCTCGGGCTTGTTAAGGATTGTTGGAATGGAGAAAAAAAATGCCACATCAGTTGGACAGTTGACATTGTTGGTTCCTGGGAATAGATTGTAAAAACGATCATAGTGGATTATAAGTGTCAATCTACCCATAGAACCACCAATCAGTAAAATTTTCTTGGCGTTCTTTATTCCTTTGATGGATAGAATGTGGTCAGTTATGGCATCAAACACCCTCTTACCTCTAAAGTGAAGGCCAATGGTTGGATCAACTTTTTCCACATCTCTCGTGAACGATGATCCTTCACAATATCTTACTATCACTTTAGTCCAGCTGTGGAAGTTTGGATTCGATTTAGAGATATTGTGGAATATGCTTCCTAATCTTTGAATAGACCCAATCTAATTCCAATAGATAGAAGACCAAAGATGTCTATTCAACTGAGCTGAGCACTCAGAGATAGTAGGGCACCAAGCTCATCCGAGTAGGAAACCATCGATTTTTCTTTTCCCCGCTCCAACATCTTATCGAATGTGGTAAGCTGGTGGACTCCCTCTAGAAAAACTGCTCCCTTGAAAACAACGTTCTCAACAATCATTTACTATGGGTATCTTGTCCCGGAGCAGATGATTGTTGCGAACGATGCTTCCAAGGGAGCAGTTTGCCTATACGGTGTCTATCAGCTTACCGCATTAGAGAAGGTTTTGGAGCTGGAAAAGACAAATGGATAGCTTACCTCCTCGGAGGAACTCGGTGTCATACTGTCTCAGAGTGCTCAACTCGGATGAATAGACATCTTGGGTCTTCCATACATTGAAATGAGATTAGGTCTATTCAAAGATTCAGAGGCATACTCCACAATATCTCCAAATCAAATCCAAACTTTCACAGTTGGACTAAAGTGATCACAAGATATTGTGATAGATCATCGTTCACGAGATATGTGGATAAAGTTTATCCAATCACTGGCTTTCACTTTAGAGGTAAGAGTGTGTTTGATGCCATAACTGACCACCTTCTCTCCACCAAAAGAATGAAGGATGCCAAGGAAGTTTTACTGACTGGTGGTTGTACGGGGCGATTGACAGTTATAATCCACTGTGATCGTTTAACCAATCTCTTACAGGGAACCACCAAAGTTAAGTGTCTATCTGATTGCGTTTTTTTATCTCTATTCAAACAATCATTTGCAAGCCCGAGAGTTGGAGTCGATTTTTCAGCGCACAGTTGCTTTACTGAATTCAACTGGACCTAACCCAAGGCTTGCATTGACAGAATGAAAGGCAGTGGTAGGGAAGAATAGTTATGCATGTTCTTACAATATATTGTGAGAGATATTAAGACGTCGCCGTTGATAGTCATGACCACTGCCTATGACTCTTATAAAATAAATGAGAATTTGTCCACGGCTTTTTACCATGCGGTTAAAGAAATGAAAATCTTCCCAACTAAATATCGAGTTTTACAAGATTTTAGATTGCAATTTTCTGATGTTGTGCATAAAACAATAGATAAGGTGTCACGGGGAGGAGTTTTCATTAATAATTGTTTTACGCATACTCAACTTACCTTTCGAAGGTTGGTACAATCCAAATTTTGGAGTAAATAATATGACAGACACGCAGGTGATTAGGGAGTGGTACTTCGAAAGGAGATGTCACATACAAGAGATAGACAATAAACACTTTGAAAGGAGTTGTCACATTATTTATCAAGTGGTTATTATCCGAAGAGATAAACCACACACTCTCAACGGACTTTTACGAAGTTGTTAAGTTCAACCACATCTCTGCAATCCAATACAAAACGTTAAAGGAGTTTAGATGGAAAATTTTGGATGCTTTGTGCAAGATGCACACTCCATCCCAAGGACTTTTTGTGAGCAATTACTTCGGGCACACAGAATTTACCTTCTACTGGAATTATCCAAAACATGGTTTTGACATGAATAATAGGACTGGTAACTGGTACTTTGATAGAACAAGTCATGTGCAGGAGGTTGAACAAAGTATATTGGTTGAAAACTGTGTAAATAATACGTTCATAGATGAGGATGGTGCCTAAATTAACATCTTGAATTGATCCAGTCCCGGAGCCATTGATTTTTTACTCTTCTCGACTCTTCTCTTCTCGCCAATCGCCACTGTAGCCTGAACACTTCTCGCCACGTTCTAGGCAAACTGTTGCCTTGGAAGCAGCATTCTCAACCATCGTCGATGAGTCTCACATCTACTATCGGGAATCCAGTCCTAGAGCCGATGATTTTTTACTCTTCTCGACTCTTCTCTTCGCGCCAATCGTCATCGTAGCCTGACCCCTTCTGGCCACCGTAGCCTGACCCTTCTCGCCATCGTAGTCTGACCCCGACCGCCAATTGTTGAAGAGTGAACATCGATCGGTGACCAAAGGGGTAATGTGCTATTTTTATTTTCTTCAAATTATTTTTTTGTGTGCTTTCTATGGGCTAGCTTTGTCCAGGATAGTAGTGTACCTTCACTTCTAAAACTGCGTTTAAACTGGAATTTTAGGCTAGTAGATGTAAGGCTAGTTTAATTTTTTGGTCAATTACCAAGTGTGCAACAGATATCACGTGTTTATTGATTTGCGAAGATTGTGGTTATTGTTGTCGTTCTAGTTCTAATGCTTGTCAATCGTCTCGATTGTTGGAATTTAAGATTTGAAGTTTGAATCTAATCAGTAGTTGTAGCTATGGGAATTGGGCCCGTAGGTCAGTCAGTTGGTCTACTAGGTAACGACTAAGCGAACGAAAGCTAAGTAGTCTTACAAGTAGCGAATGAGTACAAGCAGATTGCTACAAGTGGTGTAGATTGCAATGTAGGGTGGATCACAAGTAGAGAGACGTTACAGAGTGAAGATTACAAGTAGAGTGTAGTAGTTGTTGTTATGAGATGAAGATCATAAGTGAGGGGGGACCCTATTTCTACTAAGTCGGTCTACGCATTTAATGCACCTACTACAAGTGGCTTGATGTGGTGTCTTCTCGTTGGCTTGGTTAAACGGTCACTCTGCAGCTATGCGTGGGTTGACTGACCGAGGCAATAAAGTCGTCCTAGGTTTTCCGATATATTGTTTGGTAGTGTGTTCGATAAATTAAGAATCTTAAACTAAACCAAATACTGAATTGAACTAATTCCAAACTCAAATCGAACTTTTTCCGAACGAATCGAAATCGAATCGAATTTTAATGTTAAATCGAATAATATTACTTTCTCTAATACCAAAATATCGATACCAAAATCAAAATAACCAAACCGAATCTCAAAACGTTTACCCCTATTTCATTAATTGCTACATTTCTCTTTCTTTTTTCTTTTCATCATCAAAAGAGACCGACCTTTCATCGAAAATAGTCATCATAAAAATACGCACAATGGGAAGCAGGGAGGATTTTTTTTTTATATTCTTAAAACACGAAAGAAAAGAGCCTTCTTTAACCTCTGTCTCTCTCAATCAAAATACAAACAGAAGTTGCAATCTTTTTTTGCTCTCTAAACTCAGATGAGTTTTTCTCTCCCTTTACAAGTATTTTATAAATTTTAATATTACAATTCGTTTAAAATTTTTAATTTAGTAAAAATATTTTTAATTTTTAATTTTGATATTAATAGTTCAAGTCTTATTTTAAACCAAAAAAAAAAAAAAAAAATTGAGTTAATACCACAAATGGTCCTCTAAATATTGGGCTAGTACTCCTTTTAGTCATCGACTTTCAATTTGACCAAAACATGTATCTTGACTTTTATTTTTTTTATCACAAATAGTTTTGGCTAAGATTTCTGTTAAATAAGTATTAATCTATGGGTATTATTGTCAAATTTATTAAAATGATTTTAATTATTTTTTTTAGAGAATTATATAGCAACATAATTAATTTCAAACATTAATAAAAATTAAATTAATATATGTAAAAACAAAATGGACGTGACAAATCACATAAATGAGTAAATTAAAGAAAAATATGTGACTAATTATATTAATTCAACGCTTTTAAAAAAATATCAATTCAACGGGGCAGCAGCCATCAATTACGTTCGAAACGAAATGTTTGATCGAGTAATGAAGAGCGAAAATGGTTAATCGACCATGTATGAACAACCATTAAAATGATGGAAGCAAAAAATTGAGAGGTTTCTGTAATTTTTGAAAAAATTTCTTCCAAACCGACCAATTTCTTCTTGACCGAATATTTCTGCTTCAAATTTTCTTCCTCTATTAAAGAGAGGAGCAATACTTGGAAAATTAAGCACAAACAAAAATGTGATACTTTTGTATCTAAACAAGAATGTTATGCGAATGTATTTGAAATTTAAACCAAATAAATGCATTCCTAGTGCAATAGTGTTAATAGTCATCTTCAAAAGATTGCATATTTTGTACGTTCTTTATGTATGAACTGTAATTTTAAATCTCCATGTATTGTACCTCATCAATTTAAATTTGTTGGTTAAAAAACAGATAGCTTGTTAAGAATATATGTGGTTGATGTTTTCTGTTTATACTTATTCAAATTATATTCCTTTAGAATAGGTATATTAGAGTAGTGGTTACAACTTCTTAACTACTTGTTCTCCTGTATATACTATTTATACCTGTTAGCTTCTTCATCAATATATATATCAGTTCATTTCCTTACATGGTATCCAGAGCCTAAAATCTCCTACGAAAGATTTTTTTTTTTTCCTTACTTCCTGCCCCTATTCAATGGCGTCCACCACCCAAACTACTCCGGCCACCACTGAAGTCGTCCAGCTTCACGCTACTACACACTTCCCTATCAAACTCACACCTACGAATTTCCCAGTCTGGAGGCGCCAGGTTCACTCTACACTCATTGGCCTCAACCTCCATGGCTATGTTGATGGTTCTGTCCAAGAACCGCCTAAGTTTTCTGGTTCGGCTCAAACAGCCACAAACCCGGATTATTTTCATTGGGTCCGTCAAGACCAAGTCATCGTCAGTGCACTCTTAGAGAGTTGTTCTGACTCGATTCGACCTCTCGTGTCTTCGGCTTCGACAGCCTATGATGTTTGGCAACGCCTAGCCACTACTTACGCTAGTGCGTCTCAAAGCCGAGTTCGTATACTTTCCCTCAAAATCGAGCTCACTCAAAATCCGAGAGGTACTAGGTCGATTTCTGTATTTTTGAATGACATACGATCCATCGCTGATGCACTCGCGTTGGCGCAGTCCCCGGTCTCTGATGAAGACCTTGTCGTGTACATTCTAACGCAGCTCGGGGATGAATATCATTCAATCTTCTCCGCTGTTTGCGTCCGACAGAAGCCTATTTCCTTAGCGAAACTAGCCGATGTTCTCATTGATCATGAACGTCAGTTACAAGCCGATGACCGAGCACGCCAAACCGTGCTGGCTACTGCCAATATCACTCCTACTACTGCTCCTTTGCGGTCATTCTCCGAGTACAATGGTCCGGACCAAATACGCTTGGGTGACGGTAACTCTTTACACATATCTCACATTGGTCATGCCACAATTCCCACCCCTTCTTCTGCCCTTAGTCTAGAAAATGTCCTGCACGCTCCACAGCTACACAAAAGTTTAGTTTCTGTTTCACAACTTTGCAAAGCTAACCGTGTGTCTGTTGAGCTCTTTGCGTCTCATTTTGTCGTGAAGGGTCTTCAAACTGGGATGGCATTGTTACGGGGGCCGAACGTTAATAGTGTGTACTACAATACTCTCTCTTATGAGCCTCAAATGAATGCCACGCACCTGCCATCTGTGTCTGAATGGCACCACCGGTTGGGACATCCGTCAAATACGGTGTTACAACTCGTGTTGCAACACTGCACAATTCCAGTTTCTGCTGCCTCTCTACGTCAGTTTCGTTGTTGGTCTTGCAGTGTACACCAGAGTCACAAATTGCCGTTTTCTAAGATCACTCTCGTTAGCACAAAACCCTTACAGTTACTTTACACTGATGTATGGGGAACGACAGACAAGTTTGTTGATGGTTTTCTTTATTACGTTGTCTTTGTTGATCACTTTTCTAAATATGTCTGGTTGTATCCCTCAAAACACAAGTCAGATGTTTTTAGCATTTTTCCTCAGTTCAAAAGGTTAGTCGAGAAGGTCTTTGGGCTGCCGATTGTCTCTGTTTACTCAGACAATGGGGGTGAGTTCATCGACCTAGTTGCTTTATTTAATGCCTGTGGTATTTCGCACTTCACCACCCCACCTCACACTCCCGAGCACAATGGGGTGGCTGTACGGCGACACCGTCATATCATCGAGACGGATAATCAATTCCCCTTTCAGGTTCTGTTTAATCAATCCCCTACTTACACTAAACTACAACCGTTTGGCTGCTTATATCTTCCGTGGTTGAGACCGTATAACACCAAGAAATTAGAGCCGAAGTTTCGGCCTTGTGTTTTCCTTGGGTATTCCAACACACAATCAGGTTATAAAAGTTGGGACCCCACATCTAGTCGTATTTTTATATATCTAGGAATGTCCGCTTTGTACCTCATGTGTTTCCTTATAGGGATTTGCAGCTGGCGTCTGTCACACCATTGTCTGATTCGCAGGGTTCGGAGATGAGCAATATTTTGTTCAGGTCGTCTCCTGTGTCCACCCAGCCTGCAGTTGTTCCTACACCCACTCCGACTCCTACTCTGCCTTCTGTGTCTTCCCCGGCTGGGTTTCTCTCTAACGTAGCCGACTACCCGCAACCTGCACCAGTGGATGTTCAAACTCATGTTCCAACACAATTCGGCGAAAATAGTTTGGACATCCCCACTGGTTTACCTTCAGCTGCGTCTAGTTCGCCACCCCCTGGTTGTTCGTCTTCCGCTGTTCCAGAACATAGTCGTCATACCAACCAGTCTGGGTCCTTGCCCGTCACCACCTCCGAAGGTTCCCAAACACAAAATAATTTGCGCCGGTCTACTCGAGAGCGTCGTCCCAATCCCAGGCTGCCTACGGGTCATCACTGGCAGGCTGCAAAACGGCTTCTTCGCTGTCTCAAAGGTACAGTTTGCCATGGCCTGTTTCTACGGGTGGGTCAGCCGTTGTCTCTACGAGTGTTCACTGACTCTGATGGTTGCACCACTGATGGCCGTTCTACCACCGCATATTTGGTGTATCTGGGCGACAATCGCATTTCCTGGAAATCCACGAGACGCAAATCTGTTTCGTTAAGCCTCCGGTTTTCCACTCCCGTTTCGTGGTTTGGTTCCGGCTGGTGTGCTGGTTGTACATCATTTTCCCTCATCTGCGCAGCTGGCTGATCTTTTAACCACGCCCCTTGGTCGTTGCTTGTTTTTCCGATTTCGGTCCAAGATTGGAGTCTCCGACGAATCCTCGATTTTGCGGGGGCATGTTAAGAATATATGTGGTTGATGTTTTCTGTTTATACTTATTCAAATTATATTCCTTTAGAATAGGTATATTAGAGTAGTGGTTACAACTTCTTAGCTACTTGTTCTCCTGTATATACTATTTATACCTGTTAGCTTCTTCATCAATATATATCAGTTCATTTCCTTACATAGCTCTAATATTAAATCTTCATTTTGTATGGATAATTACGAGAATGATGTGTATTGTCTTTTTATTTAGGAGTATTTATAGTTGTTAATTGTTTCAATTGTGCTTGTTGGTAAAAAATTCTAAACATTTTTATTTTATGACCATTATATATATACTAGTAATTCACCCGCGCAATGCACGGAAAATAATTATGTTATTATAAATATAAAATAAATAAAAAATAGAAAAACTAAAATATTTTGAATTATTTAATATAATAATATTTTTGAGCTTTCATTGGTCAAGTATTTATTTATTTTTATAGAATACAAAATTACAATTAAAATTAAAATTAAAATTATAATTATAATTTTGTATGGTTAATATAATCTCTAATTATGTACATATTCAAATAAACTTATAGAGATAATTTACATAATTACATTGATTTATTCTTAATTATATTTCATCTATATTATAATTTTCACAATACAAATAATAACTAAGATAATTACATTTGAAAAGCAAATTTTAAATTTTGTATGTGTAAATTTAAACTCTAATTGAACACATTTTTTATATGATTATATAATATATAGCTATTTTATTTTTCAAAAGTATATTTTTTATATGATTATATAATATATAGCTATTTTATTTTTTAAATGTTGTGCTTTTTTTATATAATAAAGGATGTTGTGGCATTAATTGTAACATTAATTATTTCCCAAACCATATAACTTTATTATATAAAGGATTTGACAATAATACACATTGATTTAACACTCATTTAACAGAAATCTTAACGGATGACTATATGTAGCCAAAAGGGAAAGTAAAGATACGTGTTTTGGTCGAATTGAAAGTTAAGTACTACAAGGGGTACTAGCACAATAGTCAAAGGACAATTTATGGTATTAACTCAAAAAAAATTAACTTTGATAAAGAGAGTTTGTGCATGTATGTATATATTAATTAGCATTATTGTATCAAAAAGTTGAAATGTCTCAATTAGATATAACTTTGATGGTTAATTATAATGTTAGTGGGTTAAGAAAGGGTGCAGTGCATGCCCTATTTCTAATTTTTGTTGCAGGAAAAGAAATGCCCCTTTCATCTTCAATTCAGGCACAATTTTATCACGCATAGTGCATCATGCATTGTGACTGTGATATATTCTCTGCTCCTATATATATATATATATATATATATATATATATATATGTGTGTGCGACCACTGTGCGGTATAAACATGCATATTATGTAACATCATATATATCACTTTATGAAATAAGCAAAGCAAATTTGATTTTTTGATTTGAACGTACGAAGGGGGAAGCATAGTGGAGAAATTAGAATTGGTCTCTCAAAAGAACGAACCCTACATGCATAATGAAAACTCCACATCTTATATGAAAACTGTAAGCTAACCTTGCCCGAGTAAGGACGGATCTCCGGCCACTACCAATCGCACCCCTCGTTTGGCACATCCCGTTATAATTGGAGCTCGTTTAGTCGGGTATGCGAGGACGACAGCTACGCAGTCCATCGTCTGTCTATTTCACGTCGGCAGATGGTCTCGATCACCGGCGACGAAGATTTGGATCCGGAAGAAAATTGTGACTTTTGAACGGAGGGCTTATTCGATCGTCTGATCGCCGGCGTCGCAGCCGATGGTCATCGATCGGAAGACGGGAATGATTGCCAGTGATCGGATGGTTGATAGGCGACAATACTTGGAGTGGATCTCGGCCACTACGATGTAGAACGTGCGGTTGTGATTGCAGTTTCGTTTTCTTCATCTCCTCCCTTCTCTCTGTGCTGGAAGTAGACGGCCAGTGCATCACCAGATCGGCCATCGATCGCGCCAGAACGATCGGGGAGGTCGGTCTGGATTTCTAGATCACAAGGTAGAGCAAAAGTACTTATTGTAAGAATATTCAGAAATAGAGAGATAAGGGAGAAAAAAAAGAGGATTATCTCATTCATTGTATCATTCATCTACAAAGGTATTCTATATATACAAGGTAATCTTCAATACATATAAATAGTAATAAGTTATAACTGTTACAATATTGATAATAATGTCCACAACAATCTTTGTTTATAACTATTAGTGAGTTTTTTTTTTTTTTTTTTTTTTTTGAAAGTTACTGGCTCTAGTGGGTTAAATCTTATTCTAAATAAAAAAATTATAATTATTTTATATAAAATAAAAAATAAAAATCATGGCCTTAGCCCGGAGTGAGCCCACAAGCCTAAGACCGAGACAGGGTGTTAGCCTCCATCAATTTCATTTCTTATCGTGATGGATTGGACTGTCTTAAACCACTACCGTCTACCCGCATGCCCGTCATACTATATATACATACGTGTATCTATTTCATACACTGGTCGGAAAGAATGGTGTGTGCGTTGCTCGCCGACCGACGTGAGTTTGGGAGGGCGCAGAGATAAGACTCATAAGAGGGAGTTTGCCAAGTCTTAAATTATAGGGATGATTTCAGCTTAAGTGGACTACTCTATATCTATATCCTCTAATTAAGAATCAATCAACAAACTAGTGAAAACAAAAATGAAAAAAAAAATAAAACAAAAAATTAAAAGAGAAAAAGCAAGGGGTCGGGTCAGCTTGACAAATAAATAATACAGTACTGTGTAACATTTATAAAAATTTATACAAAATAAAAATAATAACAAATTAAATAAACTTTATACGTACCAGTTGTTGGGCCGAGAAGCTGCTTGCTACCTTGTTGTCCTTTGCCGCCGGATGATCAGAAAGAAAACAGATACAGTACGTACTTAAAAAGTTGTATTATTAAGCCATGGATAAATTATTTATACACGTACTAGAGATAAAATAGGTAACAAAAACAATAATAAAGAAGTATTTTACAGGATTAAACTAAGTAATAAAATATATGATAATAATTAATTAAATCCTGCACAGATTGTAACTTACAGTACGTTTTAAACAATACTTATCCATGGCTTAATAATACAATTAATGAATTTGTTACAATTTGATAAATTACAATCTGTACTTACAGTACGTACTCTGTAAAATATTTGTTTATTGTTGTTATTGTTTATTGTTGTTTTTGTTATCATAAACAATAAATCATTAATTCTTAACAAATTCTACCGTCACCGTCACAGATCTGGAGTAATACTCTGGCCGGTATGCTTCTCGTCACCGGGCCGTTCAAGATCAACGGTGCCTGAATCAAGCGTATGTGGACGAGTACTTGGCTAAGCAGGCGGAGAATAAGATAGATCAGAGTTCAAAAAGGAAATCCTACTATCCTATCCTACTATCCTACTATATATCCTACTCCTGTTATATATTAAAGCCATAAGATTTCAACCAATCAAATTGTTCCATTTTTCCGCTCAAAATTTTGGGAGTTTTTTTTTTTCTTTTTTTCGATTTTTTAATTAAAAAAGCTAGATATCTATCAACATGATCTGCTTTGAATACATATATTAATATATTAATTGGGAAAATTTTATATTAATTGTGACTTTTCATATTTTGATGAAGAAACAACGGTATCCAACATATTTGCAGTAATTAGCGTGTTTAGATTATTTATTTACGAGTCTCTTTGGTATCCGATCAATTAGCATTAATTACCATATTGATCTAACAAGCTATATAAAGAGCTCAGTTCATATCACTTCTAATACAACACAAACACTTGATATCACAGACATTATAAAGATTGTTTACAATTCAAATACACATCGCATATTTTCATGCAACCTCTTTACATTCTGACGAATGAAATCAAACCTTCGAAAACAATATGTGAGATTAAAGTTCGTTGAGTGCATATGTACATATAAAATCCGAGAGAAAAGAGAAGTGAGGCGATGAAGAGTAAGGAATGTCTTTCATGACCAAGAGGTATGCATTTAAATACAGTAGATAATATATTACTCAAAAAAATACAGCAGATAAATTATTCAACCAGCGAATGATAGGTTTTAAAACCTACCTTGACTCAAAAAGGTTAGGACAGATTGTAACGTAGATCCTGCACTTGAACAGGACATTGTAAGTAATAAAACAAAGTTCTTTTCAGTCTCCGAATTTAAAGCTTATTTTATTTTAGCATTTCATAAAACAGAGTTCTTTGGCATTCCAGACATGTTTAATTATTATGGTAAAGTGCTTTGTAAAATGAATTGATGATCATCATTAGTAGTACACAATAAACTGTTAGTAGTACACAAAATATCATGTACACAAGGGTTTGAAAACCTCATCAGTTTTCTTTTTCAGGGTTTTCAATCACCTACAGTGGTAAGCATTTTTTTTGCATGCTTAAATAATTCATTTGCAGGTAGTTCAACTTGAGGAGTATACACATTATAGCTGATGTGGTTGTTGAATAGATTTCCATTGGTTTTTTTTCTGTTTTGTGCAGGTAATAAAGGCACTTTGTGCACATGAATATAATTTTGAAAGCAATAGAAGTATATTCGTTATTGGGTGTATAGAAGTACACAGGTTTATTTGTAGATTTGTATTATTGATTAAAATATTTAGACAATGTATTTTTTGGGAGTAAATTGTTATAATAAATTTTAGTTGGTTTTATTTTTAATATGATTCTTATACTTAATCTAATTTTGACTAATTTTTAATATTTATGTATACAAACATTTAGCATGAATATAATACATTTCTTAATTTGAATATGACTTCAAAAAATCATTCAAAATGGTTTTGAAATTTGTTCAACACAAAACAAGTAACAGAACACAGAACTGTGGCTATTCGTGTATTCCAGCTTAAATCAAAATCATAGAGTAAACATGGATTCAAAAATTGAAGTCATTTAAGAATAAAACACAGAACCGAAGAAATTGTGCATTTTAGGTATATAACAGATATATGCAAGTATTCTTAAAAAAAAAAAAAAAAGATATATGCAAAGTTGCACTATACACGATTTAACATCTCTACTTAAATTATTTTGCAGTATACAAGCTTGCATGTTCAAATCAGTCACTAAAAAGATCATTATTCAAAAAATAACAGTTGAAGTTTCTGATCAAAAACCTAAATTCAGGTAGAAAAACATTTTTCCGTCAACTCGGCCTGATGTCAGAGAATGAAAGGATGAATAACTCCGCCTGATGTTAGAGAATGAAGGGCGAGATGTCGGAAAATGATGGCTGAGAAGAAGAATCTAGAGAGAGACAGAGAAATCTAACCTTTTATTTTTTTCATATATATATATATATATATATATATATATATATAGTGAAAGGTTCACGTGCGGTTGAATGCTTCCCGTGCGGTTGTGCGGTTATTAATGTGCGTGAGATCACTCTGTGAGTTGCTTCAGAATAACTTCGATTATTGGGTTGCTCATTATGTGGTGAGTTGCTTCAGAATAACTTCGATTATTGGGTTGCTCATTATGTGGTATGGAATATGCTGGCCTGTGCTTATTCGACATTCGACATCTGAGATGGTTGCTGATGCTCTTTTTGTTCTATCCAAGATGAAAGATTTGAATCTTCAAGTTTCAATAATGACATATAATAGTGTGTTGATCTGCTTTACTGATGTTTACAATGAAATAAAAGCTTCCTAAAGTGAATACACAAATTCTATCCTTATCAATGGTCTATGCAGACCGATCTTGGTGCGAGAATCTGGAACTTCTGTTGTTTGCTTCAATTCTAGATTGTTGAAAATTCTCTTATTACTCACGCACATTAAACACAAATATCACGCATATTAAGCACAATACTCTGGCACATTAAGTACAAAACTCACGCATATTAACATGACGCACATTAAGTACAAATCTCAAGCATATTGAGCATAACACTCACGCACATTAAGTATAAACCTCACGTACATTAATCCACCGCACAACCGCACGGGAAGAAACAAATGCACCTGATCCCTTCCCTATATATATATATATATATATATATATATATATATATATATATATATATATATATATATATATATATATATATTATAATTAGTTATATGAAATTTAGTTGTGTGGAATTAATTATTTAATTTATTATTTCATTTAATTTATTGTAATAAACATTTTCCGTTTATGATTTAATTTAATTTTCCTTTATGTGGAATTAATTAATTTAATTTTTCGTTTATGATTTCATTCAATTTAATTTAATTCTACTATTCTACTATATAATAAAGCCATAAGATTTTGGCCAATCACATTGCTCCATTTTCCCGCCTAAATAAAATTATGTCGTTTTATGAAAATGCATCTTGAAACTCCCGATTAATAAACATTCATGAAGCACATTATTCAAATAAATCTGGGAAAACGAATCGTTGTTTTTTTTAATTACAAATTTGAAGTGATTGACATCTAATTGAAGACATCCTTTTTGGAAGGATGTTAAGTTTAAATAACGTAGTTATTCTTTGTCATTGTTCCAAAGCTTGCCTCTTCGTTTTTCTATAACAGTCCTGATTCCGATTCAATTATACCTTTATATAAAGAGGTCGAATGACTTGCAGAAGTACAACCTAAGACTCTGAGAATAAGTAATACTCTGCACCAAAAATATGTCTTCTCCTATGTATTTGTTGAGGAGATCAGTCCACACTGCACACCAAAAGAGCAATAAGGTTAGATTATCATAAGTTAGATGGATCATGGCCAATTATATGTAGCAGTTTCTAGGGTCATGGTCTTAAAGTCTTAATTTGTGGGAAATATAGAGGTAAGTCTTAATTTGTGAGGAATCTAGAGATCTTTTTAAACAATACTCAAAATGTAGTTTACAAAGAAATCTTTAATAATGTGTAATTGTTTTATTTATGGAACGCCAATAAATTATATTTTGTCTATTTATTATATCTAAAGTCTTATTGGTCTTATATCTTCAATATAACAATCTTTTATATATTGCACTATAATATTATGATCGTGCATCACACGGGCAACTACTAGTCGAAGACAATGGAGAATCCTCAGCTCGGAACTCACATATTTTGGGAGAAGACAATGGAATGAGTTTTACTACAGCGTTAATCCTCGGAACTCACAGCTAGTAAATATATATTTATAAAGAATAAATAGGAATGTATTTTTTGGAAGACATAACTAGGCATGTTAACAAACGTTATATGGTGTAGTCGAAAATCGTTTCGTGAGTATTCTTTATAAATGAATAGAGGGTATAGAGTTAATATCCAAAATAATCTTCGACTTTAGTGGTTTTTCTTAATTTTATTTTGAAGGACTTTGGTGACTTAATATAGTCTCAGAGTTTTGTGTTTTTACTCAATTTAGTGTCAGACTTTTGTGTTTTTGTTCGATTTAGTCCCTCATTTGTTATTCCGTCCATTTCTTGTTAAATAAATAGACAATTCAGTAATTTTAATTTTGGCATCTCTTTACTCATAGACATGCGAAGTGCGAAATTCCTTCTTTTTTTTTTCTTTTTTTTTTTGCGAATTTCTCCTAGAATCACTCCTAAACCAGCGAATATAAAATTTGATTCGTAGGTCTGAGAGTAATTCTGAAAGAGGGATTTCTCACTTTACAGGTTGAAAGTAAAGAGAGTTCAATATTGATAGTATTGAATTGTCCATTTCTTTAACACCAATTTGACGGAATAACAAACGGAGGACTAAATTGAGCGAAACACAAAAGTCTGGGACTATATTAGGCCACCAAAGTCGTTTAGAACGAAATTGAGAAAACCCACTATAATCGATGACCATTTTAGATATTAACTCAGAGGGTATATATTCGTCTAAATGTAATAATCAAGTAAGTAAAGCTCTAAATCTTATATCAAAAACTTTTATGAATATTTGATTTTAGTTTCATCTTCTTAGAAAATGGGCATATGTGAGGTCACTTTGATGTATTGTTTAGAGTGGGTTCATTTTTATTTAGCTCGAGTTAAAGTGAATTTTAATTCTTATTATTATGAAAATTTTCATATACCTATATATTTAAAAAGACTAATGGATGAAGTCACTTATCAAATTTCATTCACAGGTTTTATTAAAAAAAATTACAAAGTCAATTTTATATTTATTAAAAACTTTCAAGTTTACAATATTTATAAAACTAACTCTATTATTATTTTTAATTATTTTTAGCATTACTTAATCGTTGATATATATATACTAGTTTTTTTACGCGCTTGGGATAATGCTCAATATTTTTCTTAAATAAGTATTTTAAAGTATATCAAGGCAAGATTATATTAGAATTGTTCATGCATAGATAATTGAATGTTGAATTTGCGTATTTAAATTGGTAATTCTAAGTTTACAAATGGAAGATAATATAGTCAAAATTGATTATAATTGTCAATAAAATAATTGTATGGGTATGGTTGAAACCAAATACGGGACATAAGGGAGAGCAAATAAAAATTAAAGCATAAAATATTAAATATATACTAATATTGTTTGAGGAGATTCCGACAATAGGATTTGTGGTTAGAGTTCTATTAAGACTTTAATATTAGAATTAGATTAATGTTCCTAGTTATAATTCTATATTAGACTTTAATATTAGGATTAGACTAATGGTCATTTTTTCTACCCAATATTAAAAATTAAATTCTGAACAATCTGAACTATTCATTTGATTTAATAATTTGACGGTCATTTTTTCTACCCAATGTTTTATAATTAAATAAATATTTGGAAGTATATAAATGCAAGATTATATATGAGAAGTTCAACATAAGTAATTTAATGTCTAATTTGTTTATTTAAATATGTAATTCATAGTATATGAATACAATGTAATATAGGAGATTCATTATAATTGTTACTAAACTTTTTTTAGATAGTAACCAAGTATTTTTTGTTGCAAAGGGTTCTAATATATTTAATGAATGCACATATATACAAGATCAATGAATGAATCAACGGTACTAGTCCTTTAGGTGTTTTGCTCAGTGTTCATTTAGTTCAACCATTATTGTTGAATAAATTATTATGGATAAAGAAATTCCTAATTTGAGGAATTTAGATGTAGTAAAAATTTAAAAATTTTAACTATAATGTAACCCAAAGATATTGGACTATTGGTAAATATGATGTAACCGAAAAATCAAAATGCTAAAGAAAGTGTTTTGGTATTCAACAGTTTGAAGCAACAATTTGTTCCAAACCACTGAAAATACAAACATTGCAATTTACAATATTTTCACTTAATGTTTTTTAGAATGATTTCCCCAAGACACATCTATATTTTTTTAAAAAAAAATTATTATTAAAACAATTATTATTATTATTATTATTATTATTATTATTATTATTATTATTATTATTATTATTATTATTATTATTATTATTATTATAATATGTATACCCTTAGGTCATTTTAAATGTTAATTTAAACAACTAATTTTTTCAAATATCTTTTTACCAACCGTTGATAATTTTCGCTGGTCAAATCCGCAAATATAATCTGCTAACGCTAACGCTAACTGTTGATTGTCAAACAAAGACATTGCGAGGTAGTTTCTCACTTCAATTTGTTGTGTGATTTGAATACTCTCTTTGTCAACAAATCCCTCAAGTAGTTAATATAATTGGCTTTATTAATTTACATTTTTTCATGGTATTAACAAAATACTTGGTAAATAAATATATATAGCATTATTTGTATTATAACTTTGATATTTAATTAAAAATTAGTGCATAAAAAAGATAATAGACAATGTAGTGAATATAAACAATTGATGAATTTGAATGCATGTAAAGAATTTGTATATTGGAGAAAAATAAATACAATATAACTAATGAAATTAATTCTCTTATTTAATTTATTGATAATGAATAATTTTTTTTTTTGAATAAAGACATTGTAGACACATAATTATAATGCATATGTATGTATTATTTTTTGTTGTAGCTACTAAATTATTATTTAATTTAATAAGAGTAAAATAGAGTACTAATTATGCCAACTTTGATTGAGATGCGGTTCGAACGTAAGACCTTTCTTATTGAAATCAATGAGTAAGTTAACGGTGAACTAACAGAAATTAACAGAAAAGATAATATTTAACGAAAAAGTTAACGAATAATCATATTCATTAAGGATAATTTAGGAAATCTTAAGGAAAAATTAAAATCTGATCAATCTGAGCCATTCATTTGATTAAAAAATTTGACTGTCTTTTTTCTACCCATTATAGGCCTAACTCTCTTGGGCTCTTATTAGTATACAAGTTTTTTACGCGCATTGCGCGATTGGGATAATGCCCAATGTTTTTTTTTTTTTTTTAAATAAGTACTTTAAAGTATATCAAAGGCAAGATTATATTGAAATTGTTCATGCATAACTAACTGAATGTTGAATTTGCGTATTTAAAAATGTAATTCTAAGTTTACAAATGCAAGATAATATAGTCAATTAAGATTGATTATAATTGTCAATAAAATAATTGTATAGGTATGGTTGAAACCAAATACGGGATATAAGGGAGAGCAAATAAAAATTAGGACATAATATTAAATATATACTAATATTGAAGAGCTAACTGCTGATTGCCAAACAAGGACATTGCGAGTTAGTTTTCCACTTCAATTTGCTGTGTGATTTGAATACTCTTTTTATCAATAGATCCCCCAAGTAGTTAATATGATTGGCTTAATTATATTTTTTTTCATTTTTTTAAAACAATTATTGTTATTGTTATTGTTATTGTTATTGTTATTGTTATTGTTATTGTTATTGTTATTGTTATTGTTATTGTTATTGTTATTATTATTATTATTATTATTATTATTATTATTATTATTATTATTATTATTATTATTATACCCTTAGGTCATTTTACTTGTTAATCTAAACAACTACATACTTTTTTCAAATATCTTTTTACCAACCGTTGATATAATTCGCTGGTCATATCCGCTAACGCTAACCCCTAACTGCTGATTGTCAAACAAGGACATTGCGAGGTAGTTCTCACTTCAATTTGTTGTGTGATTTGAATACTTTGGCTTTATTAATTATATTTTTTAAATTTTTTCTTGGTATTAATAAAATACTCGGTAAATAAATATATAGCATTAGTTTGTATTATAACTTTGATATTTAATTAAAAAATATTGCACAAAAAAAGCTAATAGACAATGTAGTAAATATAATCAATTGATGAATTTGAATGTAAAGAATTTTTACATTGGAGAGAAATAAAGACAATATAACTAATAAAATTATTTCTCTGAATTAATTAATTGATAATGAATAATACTTTTTTTTAATAAAGACATTGTAGGGACAATGTAGAGAATATAATCAATCGATGAATTTGAATTTAAAGAATTTTTATATTGAAGAAAAATAAAGACAATATAACTAATGAAATTATTTCTCTTATT